TACAAATTGAAACATGGAAACTCAGGGGTGGTTATCTTGAGGAAAACACATGTGCCTTTGACCTACCAACTTGACTAAACACTTCTTTAAAAAGTAGTTTACATTTGAAAGAATAATTGATAAGCAAGCTGTGATTATTCAGTATGGGCTAATTGGTAGGCATTATCTGGAAAAGGAACAAAGTGAGTTTTTCATTCAAGCAAAACTACTGATATGACTTTAGTCATCCCTCAGGATCCAGAGGGGACTGCTTCCAAGACGCTCATGGATATCAAAATCCATGGGTGCTCACTTCCCTTATATAAAAGTTTATTACTTCATATAATCTATGCATATCCTCCTGTATAGTTTAAATCATCTCTAGATGATGTGTAATACCTAATGCAATGTGTCATGTAAATAGTTGTTATATTGTTTAAGAAATAATGATAAGAAAAAAAATCTGTACATGTGCAGCACAGATGCAATTTTTCCCTGAATGTTTTTCATCTGCTGTTTGTGGAATCCAAAGATACAGAATCCATGGATACAAAGTGCTAACTGTATTGGTCACTAATGGTAAAATTTGAACCTAGAAGGGAAAGTTAGAATGTTGGAAAAACTGTACCCACCACTCCAAACATGACAGTTTCCCAGACTTTGAACTTTCCTGAGTGGTGATATTAAAAAATGCATTGTTTGGTGTATTATATAATGAAATCCATTAACATTTGGAAGATATGCCTAACAGTGAACCAATATTTTGCCAAATGACTAATGCTCAATGTTATAGTATCATGCATGGGTGAAAGACCCATTCTAAGAGCAAGATGGACTGGTGGATTTTAATGTATTAGCGTATAAAATATTAAGGTTGCACATTGCAATGAACCCTTAAGAAACTACCACTTATTGGGTTTTGGTATAATATTCAAGAGAATATGCGCCATTATTAAGGAGATTTTGAAAATAGCCCTCCTATTTCCAACCTATGTGAGGCTAGGATTTAACACATTGTATGGAGAAGCAGTTGTGAGAATCCAGCTGTTGTCCATTTAAGCAGCTACTACATAGATTTGCAAAAAAAAAAAAAAAAATGGGTCAAATAATACCACTCTTCTTACCAAATTTTTGTTTTGGAAAGTGAGATGTTTTTTTTTCATCTAGGGCCTGGTGGTTCACACCTATAGTCCAAGCTTCTCAGGAGGTAGAGGCAGGAGGATCTCAAGTTTGAGGCCAGTCGTGGTAGTTAGCAAGATCCTATCTCAAAAACAAAACACGAACAAAAGTGCTGCTGGCATGGCTAAAGTAGTCCCCAAGACCACAGAAAGAGAAAGAGAGAGAGAGAGAGAGAGAGAGAGGAAGAAGGGAGGGAATGTGATTTTTTTTCATAAAAATATGTACTTAACATACACAAGGTTTATTGTTATTTTTAAATCAATTGATAATACTTTCTAATTTCTCAGTCTTAATTTCCAGTATGGTAAATATCAATGGATATAACTAGACAAACAAAAACTCTTTGGAGTCTTCATGAATTTATAAGAGTAAAGGGGTCCTGACACCAAAAAGTTTGAAAACTGCTGATCTATTCTGTATTTCAAGAATATTTACGATGTTTATATATAATTAAATCAAGAGGACTATGTAACTATGATGATGAATAAGATATAGAAAAAGGAATGGAATACCATATGCGTGGGTGAGCTTGGGGTTTTGTAAGAGGGGCTGTGGCACAGTCAACCAGCCAGCCAGGGTACAGCCTCAGAGACAGAGGGCACACAGGACTTGAGCAAGCTACTCCTCAAGCTGTGTCTCGGTTTTCTCTTGGTAAAATGGCAGCAACCATAGTACTTACCTCAGTGTTAATCAGAGGATCATATAAGTAAATACCTAAGAAGTATGGAGATTAAACTTGGCACTTAGACTCTCTGTGGGTCAGTTATTGTTATTTTAATAATAAATAATGGATTTATGTCAGAAGGGATAGGGTCTGGCCCGTAATTAAGGCCTACAGGTACTGCTGACTCTACTTCACAGTGGGACAACTGAAAGCAGAAAAATGCAGTCAGTGAACCCCAGAGACAAAATACCTTGGAACTGAGAAAGAAATCGGAATCTTCTAACCCTCTTCTTGCCCTAACATCACCCTTTCTAATTCAAAATCACATCTGTTACCCCTGTGAAACACATGGATGTGCTCCAAGATTTCAGAACAAATGATGTGTGGTTGGCTTGGACTCATGTGTTAGTTCCAGAGCAGTTATAATTTTTCTTTTTTCCCACACGGTGATTAATTTTCCCTTAAGCTCAGTTTGACTGCCAAAAGATTGTTCAGAATTATGTTGATTTCAGCAAATATCCACACAGCCACCTTCACCTGTAGGAACACAAATGCTTTCTAGAAAGAGCTTGCTAATTTTTATAGTGAGAGTTTTTAAAATTTGTTTTTGTTTTTGCAGTGCTGGGGTCAAACCTAGGGCCTCACTCACACAAAGCAAACACTCTACCAGCTGAGCTACATCTCTAGCCCAAGAAAGATTCTCAATGAAACCATGGGGAAGTTTGTAGAGAGGCAAATGAAATGTTTGTGGAATGGTCAAAAGGCTAAAGACAATCTGATTTTGAAGCTGAGGAAGTCACCTGAAATTTGAAATTACATTCTCAGTAGGACAAACAGTAAATAAAATCTCACATCTCGTGTGGCCCAGTTCCTAGGCCTTCCTGCCTCCCTGTGCGAATTTTACTGTAATTATTTTTTAAAGGCTACTGAGAATGCTTCAATTCTAAAACATAGTTGAATTCAGATGTCACCTTCTCTCAGAGATGTACCTGACTACACTATTAGATAAGCCCCCAGGTGTAATTTTCTTTGAGGCACAGTTTTCCATCCAATGCACTTTATATTTTACATAGGCATTTTGTTTATTGTCTGTCTACATTATGACAGTAGAGATACTAGTCCTTCTTCAGTGCTGATCCCTAAGTACTAGAATGGGCCTGGCATGTGGTAGAGGACCCTCCCCCGCACACATACAGCTTCTGACTTTCAATCGGGGATAGAATGTGTTCCTCAATGTGTTGCACACCATGAATTCATACGTGGGACGCTCGAACAACAACACAAAAATGTGGTTACATTGCAAAAAAACTAAAAGCCTATTAGAGCCAAGAACATTTTAGGGTCACTCCACAGCCTAAGGATGAAATAGGCTGTCAGGAACTTATTCCAGCGGTCTTTAATTCTAGTCATTGAATATTGTTGTCCTTTAATGAATAAATTTCTCTTCAACTAGCTGCCTGGCTCATGAAAACCTAAGCCCCACAGACTCATACAGTGCTGGGCCCAGCAGGACTCAAAAAATAATTAAGGGTTTGACTGACAGATATACTCCATTTCTCCAAGAGCTGCACACCAGTGCAATTGTACATGGAGTCTTTGAAAATCAAGAATTAAAGACCGGGAGACTTCACTACTTAAATTTGTTCCATAATAAATATTTCTTGCACAGAATTCCTTTGCAACTGCATAATTCATTTGTAAGGTCATATTTGGGCATGCCTGGTTTATGAAGTCAGTTAATTCTCTCACACACACACACACACACAAACACACACACACACACACACACACACACGGTGTAGAATGTACAGCTCGGTTCTATGCTTGGTTGTGATGACTGAAGAATGAGAAGTAACCTCTTTAGGAGACTTGGCTGGCACATGTGACCATTAAGAATTACAAATGAAAGAAGTAATTGTGACTCCTTTATAGGCAAGGATGTCCTTTCATTGAACTTTGTCCTCTAGCGTCTAGCACAGGCAGATTAGAGGCATGCAATACCTATTCGGTGGTTGGATAAAAGCGTGAGCAAACTAATGATAGAATGCAATTAAGCATTAAATACAATTTTTTTAAAAGATCCTGTAGTTCAGTAAAATTTCAGGCAGAAGATGTTACCAAAGATAGCTTCAGAAAGGAGACACAGCAGGAGTTATACCTTGAAGGAAATTAAGGTTTCAAATGCTAAAATGAAGAGTAAAGGGAATTCCAAATAGAATAGTAATTTAGACCTGTGCACCTATCAGGTAGGAGGATTTTGAGTATCAACCTTCAATATACTTCATTTATATTGTGTGTGTGTGTGTGTATGGTTCTGCTATATTAGCATTATTAAATATTTTTAAATACACACAAAATAAGGTTTTAAAAAGGAAGTTAAAGAAATAAACATTTTGAATAGTTTTTATTTATTAATGATATATCAATGTTTCTATTAGGCACAAATCTACATTTCAAATAACGTTTTGATAATTTTGAATATATTTTGGCTAATTTCTCATCATGTTGGATTAGATCATGTTACCTCAAAATATGGACAATGAGAAGTTTAAATCAATATAGGAGATGTATCTCCTAATTCATTTCTTCATTTTTGCAAGTGATTGTATTGTTAATATTGTCATTATTTCCTTGAAGGAATTTATTCCAATTACTTTTGAGAGTTAGTTTGGTTAAAGCTAGATAATATAATCTACTCACTCGAGCAAACACATAAAAACTCTAACATGTAGAAAAATGCTTAACAAAAAGGTGAAAGCACCTGGTAGGAAAGTTTCTATCAACCTTGCACAGCAGAGAGATGTGACCACCATTTGACGCATAGATAAATTAGAGGTGCAACATCCAAGTCCACTTGGACATACTTGACCATGCCTTCCTGGACAGATGGGGTTAGCAAGTCACATAGTTGAGAAAGGTGAATTGTGGGGCCAAATTATTAATAAGAATATTTGTAAAAAAGGAAAATCTGGAAAAAAATATTTTTTAAAGTTTGTCCTGGAAATCAGGAGAAAATGTTAAACCTCAAAGGAGCAGATTGAGAAGTGCACTTAAGGAAATTTATTATTTAGCCTTAGCTGGCTCCTTCAGTCGACTTTCTATAGAATTGTCACTTGCTGGTCATGGAACTCTGATACTGTTTTAAAACGTAGACTTGTTTTTTTGTTGTTCTTGACAGGAGAGAGCCAGGAGCTGCCTGACATACTTGGTTAGCCAGCTGGCCAACATGGAGCATTCGTTTCACCATATTCTCCTGCTGGAGATTAAGAGCATCACTGACACCTTCGTCTCCATCCTAGGCCCTCAAAGCAGAGACATCTTCCGCATGAGTAACAGCTTTACCACCATTGCCAGACTCCTCTCACGACAACTGGAGAATGCCAAGACGGGAAGCAGCAGGTGAGAAGAGACCCTGTGTTCCTGCCTCGGGGAGCTGTTGGGAGCCTGTGGAGATAAAGTACAGCCATACTATACTCTCTTTTGTAGTGGTGAGACTTCCCAAGAAAAGCAAAGTCCACAACTTAACAAAGAGTAACTTCTGATTAAATTAGGTCACTTGTCAGAATTTTTCTCCATGAATGGAAACCAATTAAAACAAAAAATTCTAAAAGATATGCAAAACATTTTAAATAAGAATACAGTACAAATAATAATGTCATATAGCACTCATTTGTTTATTCAACAAACATTTGATAATTGCTTACTAATGTATAGACACATATAAAGAGATACAACACGTTCTTTATACCTGAGGAGCTCACTGTCTAATAGATGAGATAAATATTAAATAATTAAAGAATATAATTAGAGGATAGTGGAATGTTATGCTACTCAAGGTGGATTCAAAGAATTTGGGGAACTGTGAGGTGAGGGTGTCTAGCTCTACCTGGAAAGAAGAAGGGTGGAAGCTGAGATCAGGACAGAGTTCCCAAAAGTGATTTTTTTGAACCAAGTCTTGAAAGATAACCAGATTGCACCTGGCTATCTTTTGGACAGTTTATGAAAAAGCATGGTACTTTCTTGAAACAGGTATCATTTTGTATGACTAAGGCATATGTTATGAAAAGAACAACATTTGGAGATGATGATGAAGCAGCAGGCAGGGGTCAGAGGATGGTGGGTTTCAAATACCTTCCTGTAGCTGGTGGGAGAAGAGCCCTTTTGTGCATGGCCAGCCTGCTCGTGTGTCCTTCCAGCCATAAACTGGCAGATGCATCAGAAACAAAATCTCAGCCACATGCCCTAGCCATAGGACCATCCATTCTCCATCACCCCAACAAACATAAGGCTGCAAGTGGTCAACAGTCTACATCTCTGAGTTTGTGTGTGTGAAAAAGTTTTAAAGGTATACATATAAGGCTGCTACACTGGCATTTTAAAAGGAAAATTTATCCTTAATAAGTAATCCCAACCCTATTAGCAGTAAGTAATTTTCTCAAGAAAAGAATAATTTAGGCAATAAGTAAATAGGAAAAAAACATTTTCACTCTCAAAATAGAAGTCTGCCTTTTGAGAATGCATTTCAGTTCTCCTTTAGTATTCTTCTGAGCAAAAAGGAAACAAAGTTAGGAGGGGAGGGAGATGAGAGAGAGAGAAGAGGAAAGGAAGGAAGGAAGGAACAAAGAGAAGGAAGGAAGAAAGAAAAAGGAAGGAGAGAGGAAGAAGCAAAATGAAATGTGAAGAGACAGAATGGGTGATGTATCTTAGTGGTAGAGCACTTACCTTTCATGTAGGAGGCCCATCCCTAGCACCACAAATAAAATAAAATAAAGAAGAGATGAAAAGGTCACCACTTATCCCACATACCACCATCTCAGACTCTTAATTCAAATACTTCTTCAGTTCAATATCCAATCCTCACTGTCAATCTCCTTCTAATAGAGTGTAATTATTCAGTGGGAACTTCAAACTCTGGCGTGGACAGCCAGCCTTTTGTGTCAACTGCTCATCCTCTCTGGGATGGTTGCTAAGGCTTCTTTCCCAACATCTTTTCCCTGAATGGCTTTCATTGTGACCATTTAGCTCTAGTCATTTCAATCTGTGCCCCAATGCAGAAAGGACTATGCTTTTGTCTAAAGCATACAGCAAAACCTGGTCCTTACAATAAAAGGGAAAATGAGTAAGTGAAGAGATCCTGAAAGAAAATTAAAGATAATAGAATTCAAAACAGATGTCATCTAATTTGCAAAACTGCCACAGAGCTCAACAGACCAGATTTTAGACTTCAGGCCAAAACTACAAGACTATCAAAAGTAACACAGTTAGCATCCTAGAGAGAATGGAAACTCAG